TACCAAAGGTACTCCCAAGATTTGGAGGTGCACTTCCCATACTGGCAGTAGAAAACGTGGATATGTTTTTATTGCTCTCGTGCACTGTAGTGGAAGCAGTTACTATACTAGGAGAAGGATTATTAAAGTTAGGTACAGTAGTAGGTAAGTTAACCCTGCCACTCATTCCAGAACTAGGTGGTGGTCCCGACCTGCTCGCGTTTGCTGGTGGCATATCTAGATTGGCGGTTTCGAAACGCCTACGACTGAGTTCTATCATGTTCTGCATTTCAGTTTTACTGCTCAGCAACAGCGTTACTTTTGACCCTTTAATGGTACCACCTGTGCGCATCATACCAAGCCTTGCATCTTCATCAGTGGCAAAAACGATGAAAGCCTCACCCAGTTCACCCCCTACAATATGCACGCCCCCATCGGGAATGGTCAATCCAGAGAAGAAGTGGCGAATGTCCATGGTCCCCGCCACAATCGGGAGACCTTGCAAGCGGATGACCACAGCCATGCTGCGCTGAAACCACACACACCTGCAGATGAGAAAAGGCAACGGCCATGTCAGACTACTGTTCGTGACACCATGCAAGCACCTACACACACCAGCTACTGCATTTGGTTAGACACACCTCGTAACATCTTGTAAAGATTAAGCATGTTTATATTCCAAGTTTCTTATTCGTGTTTGTTTACTTCATACAGGCTGAAGTATTAAACATTTACAACACAATCAGTATACATTTTGTATTAGAGATTCCAAAATAGTCGTTATACTAAGACCCAAAAGCGTCAGTTAAAAAAAAAAAACAAAAACAAAAAACCAAAACAACAAACTAACTAAGGAATATCAAAAATCAGAACTATTATATCGGTAGTTCAATACTTAACAGAATGTAAGCAAAATGAGTATTTTAGCCAAGCTAACAAAATTAATTTGCTATACACTGATATGGTATCCACTGTACCTGACAAAGTGACAGCAAAATTCTGCACAGCTATGGGAAAGAAACAGCTCCCTTTCATTTGGGGAGGGATTTTATCTCCTGCCAAGTGAAAACAACTAGAAATGTAAGATCAGGTTGGTTATGAACAAAATCCCAATATGGACAACTAGCAACAGTGAGACATACAAGACATCCTGACTGTATCCTATGGACCTGATGTTTGATTCCTAGCAAAGGAAAAGGGTCCAGGGGACCTGTAGCTTGCTAACTGTTATAAACTAGCCCCAGCCATTTTGTGACTATAAACACCTCACCTAAATTAGATTAAATCTATGCATATCCTAAATAGATATTTGGCCTTTACAGCTTCCAAAAACAAGGTCTAATTTTTTCAGTAGTTGCAGACAGAATTCTGTCTAGCACATGACACCTTCTGTCTCAGGCACAAGAAAATGACTTTTACCTCTGCAGCTGACGTTAGTGGAAGCTTAAGATCAATGCGTAACAGCAAGATCTGGACAGTTACCTTGTACAAATTCTACAGAAGCCTGAGGTCATATCAGAAGTTGAAGACAAACAGGATACTAGATAATTGTCACTTATTCTAGACAAACATTCAGTGCAGGCTGAAAGCATCATATTTATATTAGCAGAGTTCACCAGTTCAGAAGTCTCTCAGCCTAAACCGTCAGCAGTAGCACCTTGTTTCACCTGAGCCACTTGGTCCCTGAAACTTCTCGACAAGTACAAGCCAGTTCAGTATCTCACAGAAGATCTCCAAGGCTCCCATTAGTCACACAGGAATGGTGTTAGCTAAGCACTTGAAATCAAGGACGAACCAGACCATAGAATCACAGAACTGTTTAAGTTGGAAAAGACCTTTAAAGATCAAGTCCAACCAGATGTCCAATTGCAACACCACAAGGCCATGCATCAAAGACTCCTGGTCATTACCAAAGCTCTGACCAACTCCAATCAGTAACTATCTCCCAGTAACTCACGTTCAGCTAAGCATCATATCCCAGCACACAGTCCAATCCTAAGTCAGCTCCATTTGCCTGCCCAGCTCTTCCAATCGCTTCAGAGTAGCCATGTCTTGAATGACTAAGTAAAGCCACAATTTAACCAGGCAACGCTGAAGTCAGCACTTAATGAAAACAAGAGTAACAATTCTTCTACAGAGTGAAGAAGCAGTTCTTCTGTTTGCATGATGGAACTTCAGATTACTAAATTGGGTCCTTCAGTATTTTATTTTGTTGACCAATAAACCAGAGCTAACCCCTTCAACATACTAATGAATTCAAGCCACATTCTGGGGTATTCCACGGCATTGCCCCCAACTGGCTGACAGCAGAGAAGTGTCAAGGACCTTTCTCCCTCAAGGAAACAGCAAACAAGCCCGTTCACACCAAATCAGCTCTGCTGCTCTGGCCGCTGTGCATGAACATCCAATTCCTTACTGCACCATCTTGAGAGAGAGACTGGAACTCACAATACAAACATTTAAAGAAACAAAAAAACCCACTGCTAAGAAAACCTCTATTCCCCCAAGGGAAGACAGCAACAGAAAGGGCCATATCCACTAAGCCTCAGGGTTAATTCTTTTGAAAGCAACTTGCCCATCTCCACGGTCAGGTAACAGAAGCAACATCTTTGCCTTTATCTTTTATAGTGGCAGCTACATTTAACTTTGAAAATAAAATTCATTGCCCAATCATTTTCCAACAACAAAAGAACTGGCCCATGTGAAAAAAACCACAAGAGGTCAAAATAAGGACTATCTATGCTACGTAAACATCTAAGAAAGCATCTAAGACTTTTTGCACTGTTTTAAAAAGCAGCGTTTTACAGGGATTCTGTAGTTTTACTTTAAATTTGCCACAATTGATGGCATTCTCCAAAACTAAAGTTAAAATGAAATTATGCTTCCTTTACAGAAGCCACACCAAAGGGCACGGTAAGCCCAAGCTTTATTTGTTGTGCTACGGGATGGCTTTTGAATTAGATGATTCTGAGGCAAGCAAGCAATATAAAAGCATCCCTGGTTTTGCACCTACACTTTTGACACTGAAATACTACCAAGTGCAAATCGTGCTAAGAGGTTTACATTTTTTCTATTACCTATTATATACAGAAATTAGTTAGAAATTTTTATGTATTGGTAGTTAAGACATTTGAAGTTTCTTCTATTAAATGGGAGACTACTTTTAGTTATTTCCTTACTAATGCAAAAGGGAGGACAATCTGGTATGGCCATTGGTTGAACAAGGGCAACTTGGGGAGGTGTGTGTACTCAGGTCTGCTGGTTTAGAACACCTTATATTCTTTATCAGAACTGACACCTGCTGGATAACTACATTTACAAATGATTTCATGAACTCAGCCCAGAAGACAAATTAACAGATAAAGTCACAAAAGAGTTCAAGTAGTCTGGGATAATGCAAGAGTTTCATTTCTGCACTAAATTCAAAATGCTAAGAGAGTCCTTGAAGTTTTGCTACCAAGTACTCTATTCAGGTCCACTAAATCACTATTGACAAAAAAATTCAAAGAGTTGCTTAGGGATATGGTCACTAAAAAAAACTGGCTGCAATGACTTCAGTGCATTTAGTTCCATGTAGAACATTCAGCAAAAGCTTGCTATTAAGCAAGAGCTGACAGTATCACGGTCTGAATAAAAAGAATTTTAAGGACTTGACTCATCAAGTATTTTTGGCAAAGGAATATTCTGTCAACACGTAACTGCTTCAATTTTCTCAGGATTTCAGTGCTTAAACAGAGTAGTAGTGTTGCTTCTGTGACCTAAAGAAAAATCTCAAGGACCAAAAGGGCCAAGTTTTACATTTCTAAACACAAACAGATTTTTTCCAAAATGCACTTAGGAGGCAATAACACACTCAGTCAAATTTTCCAAGTAATGAAAATGCAAAGCCTGTTCAAATATTCCACTGCTCACTTGCAAAGACCAACACCTGCAGAGGCAACATCAACTTCAGACACAGCACGGGCCCGTCCAGCGGGCACTGAAGGCTTTCTGCTGGGCTGTCAGAGGTGTCCTCAGGCTGCCTGCTTTCCTCCTGGTGCAAAAAGGGACTTGGAGGCAAAAGGGGGTTTTGTTGTCGGTTTGTGTGTTTGATATATTCCTGGAAGCACAAAATCCTAGAGGTACACTATGGACGTTCCATCCCCATTAGCAAGTTGAAATCAAAAATGGAGAATAACAGGCTGACAGTCAACCTGATTCAACTTATCTGATGAGCCTTAACAGCATGCTTATGTCTTTAGAAATGTTGATGTTACAAAGTGTGGCAAAAAAGTGTAGAAGATGACAATACTACTTCTTCCATCTATGTGCTAGTTGGTAAAATAACAAGAATTTGGGTCATATGCATAAATTCATAAGCATGCCAGACCAGTGTTTTAAGATGTATGAATTTTTCAATGGAAAAGCTGGGAATATTCATCCCAGTCCCCAGGGAGCATTAAAGTACAATACCCACATGGTACAAATACACACAAACATCTTTGGCAATTCTTGGATGAAGACTAAGAACTGCAGTAACTCTGGTACTGGAGGAGGAATTTTAAGTAGGAGACTGTCTAGCAGAAGTTAAAACTGCAGACTACAGTTTTGTCTTTTTTAGGCTAAAATCAACCTGTTAGATTAATACAGTCATCTCTGAGCCAATTTGAAACTATTCAAGCCCTTTAAATGCTGCAAAACCTAATTAGAACCAATTGATGTTCACTTCTACACTCCAGTAGTTACAAACATGCAGACCTGTGGCCTGCAGCAAAGTAACTGCATTTTCCAACAGTGCAAAATAACTGAGAGAGTGTTCCAGACTACCACATGCTGATGAAACAACAGAAACATCAGTTTGGCGGAAAATTCTGTTTACAAGAAAAACACTGCCAAAACCACCATCAAAGAGTAAGTCAAAGTAAAGAGACAAGCTACAGACCCAAGTCTTTTGATATAAATTCAGATTCCAAAAGCTTCGGGTATTTCTTAGGATATACTCAATAGGCATATAAAGAAGTCTTCAATTCAAAGGCTCTTACCTGCAAAGACAGATGTTTTTTTCTTAACAAGTAGCAGAAGCCAAGCCAATCCTGTGGGCAACCAATTAAAACCAACTTTTAGACTGCAATAAAGAATAAATGGAGGCAAAAATCAATGCAGGCAACACAACAGCAGTAACAGTCCACAAAGAACTGTATATATAGAAAGTTCAAACCTGCGACCACCACAAGGCACTCCAACATACAAGAACCACAAGGGTGCATTTTCTGTACCTTCTCCCTATGTGACTTGTTGGCAATTGCATTGTAGAGCTTTTTTATGATTTCAAGACATAAGCATGTCTTCCACAAAGAATATAAAAAGAACCAGAAAGCATTCAAAGAGTCTTTCAAATTTTCCCATGACCAACAGGTAAACAAATCTCTCTTTCAAAGGCAAAGAATGAGAATTAATACTTGAAAACCCTAAATTTTAACAAACCCTTTCTCCATCAGTAATGATATTCCTTCCTCCAACTGTGCATCTTCTTACTCAAACAAAGCAACATAAGCTGTACCTCAGAAAACCTCCCTGGAGTTGCAGGTGAAGAATTCTTTGAGAGTCACACAAGCTGATGAAACTAAGTGACATTTCACAGCCATCTCTAGGCAGTCCCCTCCACAGAGCACACAGGAAGAACTCCCACAAGATACTGTATCTTCAGTTGTAATCTGCCATTTCATTAACCAAACCCTGATCAAATGCCCATTTTTTCATCCCTGGATAACAATTATCTTTCCAGGATTACAACTCAACAAAAAAGCCCAACATTTTAAGTGGCAACATATGTATTTTGTATTTAAAGATGGGATGGAACACCTTTGCTATTTCACTGCTTGGCAGACCACCTCACACTAAAATGGCGATTCTTTGGAAAACCGTCCAGGAATGACTCTCACTAGGAACAGACAACTCCCTCCTCCTCACAAAGCCAAAAGAGCCGGTTTCAGTTGTTAAACATAGTTACCAAAGCAAACTTGGAGCAAGAAGTACTAACAAACCCTCCACAAACTCCCTAACAGAGGGAATTCAAACAAACACAGATATTCACACATCTTCCACGACATCAGTAACAGACTTACAAGTGAGAAAGGTACAACTACACTCTACAGACTTATATTAAAATGGCAAGTGTATTTAGGAAAATAAGACTTCTTTTTTTTATTAGACCTTTAAGAGAAACATGCAATCCTATATTAGAAGGATTCAACTATACACTTTCATCTATAACAGTGTCAAGTTCACAAAGAGAGAGAACTGTAATCACCTGAAAAACAGTTTCATGCAAAAACACACCTGCTTCGGGAAGCAGATAAACCTCTCATGCACAAAGAACTTTCCATTTGGAAGAAAAACCCAAATCATTGGATGTATTTCCAGTACAGCAACCACGTTGTTGCACATGTTACTCTTCTCAACACTGAAAACAAGCTGAAGATTTGCAGTGGACCAAGACAACATGAACAAGATCAGACGGCATTCCCAAAAGGTGCAAAACTCCACTCCACTTAACCTCTCCACCAAACACCACCGACTTTTCTTTGCAAGTCTCAAATGTCTCAACTTTAAAGCAAACCATCCATGACTCCTGTAGGTAAAAACACCCTTTCCAATGAACCGAATGCGCACGAGCACATTACCTGGGCCAGCACCGGCTGTGCAAAGGTGTCCCCACACAGCGTGGACACCCCACAACGCCCTGTCAGCTGCACAAGAACCAGCACCCACCGCACACAAAATCACCGATGAAACAACCTTAACAGGAGTCCACCGAGGAAACAACCGGCCGATTTTTTTGCCTAACCCCATCAGATCAAGGTGGGGAAACAAATTACTAAGAATAATAGGTAAGTTTAAGAGTAAGTAAAACCAGAGCCACGAGGCTCTTTTTTCGAAAGAAAACTCACACTGGGACCCACTTGAACGCTACTTTGGGCTTTTCTTTTGGGAAGGGCGGGCTTAGGTTGTTTTTTCTTTGGGATTGTTTTTTTTTCTTTTGTTGGTTGCTTGGCTGCTGTTTGTCTTCGCTGTTTTTATTTTACAGAGCTGATTTTCACTAGCAGAAGAGAGCGCTCCGTTAACAGTGCGGCAACTTCGCTGGCGCTTACAGGGCAACCCGGACGGGCGGAGGAAGCGCCGCGGGCACCGGGGACCTTCCTCCCGATGTCTGCCTCGCCTGAACCCCCGGGACCGGGCGAAGGGCCCCGGGACGGCCCGGGGGCACGAGGGCGCGGCCCTCCCGCGTCGGGGAGCAGCGTCGGGAGCCCTCCGATGCCCGCTCGGCCGACACAGCCCCACGGCCGGCCCGGCCGGCACGCGCAAGGTCACTCGGGCGCCCCGCGCCGGGCCCGGCTTCGCCGCAAGACTTCATCCCGCGCAGCTCCGCCGGCGGCCGACCGGCAGTGGGGCAGGCGGGCGGGGGCCGGCCGGGCCGGGGCTCAGCCGAGCCCAGTGGGCGGCCTCAGCCGGGCCGCGGCCAAGCGGGAGCGGCCCGCTCGGGCCAGGGCCCGCGGTCGGGAGGAGGGCCTCCGGCCCGGCCGGCCGGCCAGCCTTTGTGCGCGGGGACGCCGCCGTCGGCCTCCCTCTCCGCGGCTCCCGCCGCAACCGGGCCGCAGCGCGGGCTAGGGCAGGCAGCCCGGTCCGGCTCGCCGGGCGCCGCGCGCTCTTACCGAGGGAAAAACGGAAAAAAAAAAAAAAAAAAAAAAATTCTGTACGGGAAAAAAAGGGTTAGAAGGCGCCGCCCGCCGGCAGCGCGCCGAGCCCGCGCACAGGCACGCAGCGCACAAAATGGCGCCGCGATGCGCGCTGGGGGCGGGCCTCGTGCGCGGGACGGCGCGTGCGCGGGGCGGGGGCGGAGCCTCAGAGCCCTCAGGAGGAGCCGCCGGGCGGGAGCGGAACAGGAACAGACACGGACCCTCCGGAACCGCAACAACCCCCGATCCGCCGGCGCGTCGTGTGCGGATTAGTGACAGTGAGTGGTGCTGCTGCCGAGGGAAAGCGGACTTGAAGAGAGCACTGAGCTTCAAGAGAGCAGAACCCTGAGAGCGGCTCACTTCTTCACTTAGGAGCAAGTTGCAGGATTAAAATGAAAGATTCCCCTGGGCCGATGCCCCGTGTTGTGTTTTTCCTTGGCCTGACTGAACTCAGCCCCGATAACCAGGCCGTGCCCTGAGCTGAGGGACCCCGGGCGCTCCAGCACTGAGGACACGGGCACGGCAGCACCGGCCATTCCCGATGGAAAAACCCCCTGTGGAGTCCTCTGTAAGAAACGGACACTAATAAACCACTGCCTCCCTTTGTAGCAGATTTGGGGGCTCAACAAGTCTGTTAACTTTGTCGTTTTTCACCTCTCAACAGCAAGCAGGGCCGGACTGTGATGGGTGTGCTCTCCCAAGGCAGAGGGGTCCGGCCTGGGGCTGCTCAGCACCACGATAACCCCCTGCTCCAGCATTTGTTTCCCTGTATATTCCCTCTTTCTACTCCCAAATTCTACTTTACCACCCTCATCCCCTCCCAAGAAACAGCCCACACTCACTTATGTCCTCCCCATTATCCCCAGTTTTACAGATTTTGTATTCTATTTGGTATTTATGGTGATAGTGAGGGGTGGCAGAAGCACCTGCAGCTCAGGGCAGCTCCCCTGCAGCAGGGAGAAGGTTTGGGTAACAAAAGGGCAATGCTGGAAGGTCCCAGGTCAGAAGGAAACTAGGACTTTTCAGCTTTTGGGGAATGTGATGAGTCACCATGTCACTTTTTGTTGCTCAAATAAGGTCTGGTGGAGAGACTTGTGATGTTTACTGTGTGGACCATCAAAAATAAACCAGGACCAAACTCCAAAATCCTCAGTGGGCCTCCAGACTGTGTCTGCACAGCTTCCATGAAGGCACAGTGAAGAGCAAATCCTGCTGCCCTGGACAGCTGCTGCAGCCCAGCACATGTCCTTGCACCTCCAGGGTCCTGCTCTGTGCTGCACCTTGGAGCAAAGTCTTGAACAGATGCCTGTGACAGACTATACCAGCAAGTGTCCAACTATACCAGCAAGTGTCCAACTGCCTTCTCAGCCATACCCAAATTTTCATGGGGAAAGAATGCCCAGTTCACTCAAGATTAACAGAAGCAGATTTGTTGAAAGTGGATGAGAGGGAACAAAATCCTGGACTGGTATTACTACTAGTATTAGTATTAGGAGCGTGCCGAGTGGCCAGGAGTACCAAAGAAGAGTCAGAAGCACGATGCAGTTGGTTACCAACAGCAGGAGGAAGGTGTCTGTGGAAAGCAAAGGTTAAAGGACAGGGATCATGAGTAACCATGTCCAATGCACGTGGGGGAAGGCAACATGCACGTGGGGGAAGGCAGGCAGACAAAAAATGCATTAGAAAAGGGTAGGATTTGCTTTTATTAGGTACTAGGAGCACGCTAATTTATCTGTCTCCTCCATCTAAACCAAAGCTGAAGAAGGGTGTCAGGGATGCAACTAGGACAAGAAAATTTACACAGGACATTTTAAAGTAAAGCTCATAGATGCCTCCCAGGAATACTCTGCATTTCTCATCCCCATCTCTACTTAAAACCTGTCAGTCAGCTATGATGTGCCTTATTGATCCTGTGTAGTTACTGTTTAGAATCAAACACCTGGTTGGTTTTACTGTGCCTACTCAGCACAGAACCACTCTGACTGCTCATTAGCATGAGCTTTGCTTCTTATAAGAGCATCTTGTACCAGCCTTTTTTTATGACTGATTTGGACAGATCAGAGGAACATCAGCTGTCAGAGGGATCAGTCCTCCCAGCCACTCAGCTTGTCTGTTTTAAAAACTGGCATTTGCTTCCTTCCAGTGCAGGACCTTATTCAGCAGCCTGAAATTTCATCAAAGCTGTCCATAGTAGAGATCTCTTGGGGCAGCTTTTTGGGACTCAGCCTTGGCAAACTGTATCATTTCAAAGCACAGGGCACACATGTTAGCAGAAACAATTTGCCTGGAAACAGCTGGTCCATGAGTGACATCACAGCAGACAGAGAACTGCCAGCCAGTCCATCAGGCAGATGTAGTTCCCCAGGTCTTCCTTATTTCCCCTTTAAAAAATGGGGCTTACGTTTGCCATTTTGCAGTCAC